ACTTTTGCAAATAATAAATATAAATAGAAGAGTTAGCAAAGTAGTGACGTYATATTTCCACAGGGAATCCGCAATTGAAACCAGCTTCCACTAGTTCTTTATGCTTACTGTACTTTATAATTTTTTTTTTACATGTAAAGCATATTATGAAAATTGGATGTGCTGGCTGTGTTCCCACCATTTACATTCCCGTCTTGTCTGTGTAGACATTATGAGTTGCCTGTGCTTTTGAGCCCGCGTTGAAAACACCGCATTCATAACACTGACTTCCGGCCCAGGAAAATGGATGCAGATGCAGATGTTGTATCTCTTCAAGACTTATGTATTTTTACAGTTGGCGGTTATCTAACTCCCTCCAATGTTTGGTCGATTCATAGACTTGTACCGTATGTACACTGTCCAAGAATCGAGCACATCGTTCACTCGTTYATTTGTGACAATTTCATGGAYATTTCTCACACYGATCAGTTCTTGGCTTTGGAMGAGAAAGAAATGCAATGGSTGCTMGACAATCAAGATATCAAAGTATCGGAAGCAGCCATGYTAGACAGCTTAGCTCGATGGTATAAACATAGCGAGAGGCAACGAGAGAATGTTTTTAAAAATCTTTTTCATAAAGTACAGTTGAGTGTGATTAAGAGAACTGTTTTGTCTGAATTGATCARGARGTATCACCTGGTGAAAGTTATCCCTGAACTACGTCAGTACAAGAAGATGTTCTCTCAAMGTGTGAATCTGGATGACTTAATTCATCAGGAGAATATGTGCAACATGTCACTTCTTTGTATCTCACGTAAACGTATCTCATCGAATATAGATCCAAATGTTCATATGTTCAACCATCTCGCAGTTCAACAAGAAAAAATCAAGTATTGGATGCCATTTATGTCAGAAGACATCGAYATTGAACTCAAGAAACTCGGAAAGGACATATTCCACAGTTATGAAATTATATGCAAAGAGAAACTGTACATTTTTGGGTTGAYATTAGAAGAGAAGGAGGATGGTGATAGTGTTGTAAAGAARATYTCGGTTTGTTTTGACATTCATTCAAGAGAGTTCACCCATTGCAGTGATCCCCCCGAATCTCTTCCTAGGGGTGGACTKCATGTTACATTTGGTGGTTATGTGTTTATCATTGGAGGGAATAAGTTTTTGCATTTAAAGGARCAGCTTCAATCTGTCTATCGTTATGACACRTTGAAAGACGAGTGGCAGATCATGCCATCATCCATACATGGTCATGCTCAGCTTAGTTTTGTATCGTTGGGCATGGTTTCTACAGGCACATTTGCTGAAATAGCTCTGTGCTTCAAAAGCAGATATATCTTTGTGTTTGGAAGGTGTTGTGAAAAGTTTGACCTGTGGACAAATACATGGACTGAAGTTCCATCTCCAAATATCTCTACTGTCCCTACCAATGCAAGTCCAAATGTTTCCCCCCTCTCATGGGATTGGGGAATGTTCTACACTTCAGGATACATTACTGGGGAMGATATTTGTRTGTTTGTAGAACCTCTTCATCAACGTGTCTTGCGCTGTCTAGCATACAATGCTAGAGATGGTTCTTGGAAAGAGCCATTTTGCTCTTACCCCAAATGTACTTTCACTGAACCATTTCTCACTAAGATACTTGGTGTTTCAAAAGTTGTTTTAAAAGAAGCTGCTAATTACAAAGGCAGGATAAAGTACAAGATATCTGAGCTAAGGAGTTCTGAAGAGTCACAGCAAAGGAAACTGTTGCCTTGCAATGMAAAATCTTTTCTATGTACACCAGGATTTCTTGCATTTGGTGTCAGYATTATCAGTAGAGGTATTTGTACAAAAATCAAAGAATGCTCTAATGATTGAATGGCAAAATAAAGGTCGAAATACCAAGATTGATAAATGGTWGAAACTAGTRGTAAATTAGTATGAGATGCATCGGTGTTTCTAAAGAAAYAGTTCTGCATACAACATGAGCRGCCRTGTTGTATGGGAATTACAATCTTGAGCCGCAGGYGAGAAACTCCAAGACTAATAAACATGAATTACAGTGAGATAACTGAGGAAAAATGACAAATAAAGGTAACTGCTTAGTTTAGYCGCTATTAGGCATGCACAATTTACTGCAACACAGAACATTTTGAATAATTATTCATCCCACATGGAAAGCARGACATCTTTTGCATAAGTGAGTTGTGTTATGTCTTCTACTTCTTCAAACCCTAGTGAAGGTCTGTGATGCGATACTAAAACTGAGACCTTTGCTAGTGTTGGGTTGTCTCAATGGTGACAACCGTGTTCTAAATCTGATTAAATGGACAGCCCTTATTGGAGTAATAGTTCATGCATTATTAATAAGTTTTATAATAACTTTTAAACTTATTGCATGACTGATAAATTGTGGAAAAGTTGAAGTTATCATCTATTTGATCATCTTATTTTAGACTAATAAAAATAATATTTCCAATCAAGACATAATTTGAAGAAAAAGAGATTGGTTCTGTTTTATATAACATTGTCTTTTGATCAATTCCTATTTGTTAATGTTGTTTTATATTTGGGTTCCAATGTTCTTGTAATTAGGATTTTTTGCTTGGTGAAATTGTTAAAGCACGAAAAAATGATTTCAGCTCGAAAAAATAAGATAGAAAACAACTGAATTCTCGTGTTATTATGAGCAGCTCCAAACCCTCCTCCCCCAACCTCACCCCTCCCCTCCAAAAAAATGTATATGTATGTTCCCGCCCTTTCACCGGCATCCCACCTCGACATTGTTTCATCTTGTCTTGTATARAAAACAATCTGTTTTTCCTGCACTTTAATAAGTGTAATCCAGAGGCGTGCTCTTCGACTTTAYGACCGAATTGTATCACGGTTCGTATGAATGAATTATAAATGAATTTGTCTACCGGAGCGAGACCATTATCACAGCGAGCAGTGCGTCACGCGAGATCAGAAACGTTGGAGATAAAGCCAATGCATAGTCACCCTCTTGCCCTCTCATCGCAATAAGCATGACAAACTCGTAAGAAGTGCAACTGCTTTGAAAAGGTAGGTCGGCATTTTAATYGTTTCCCGGCTTAAAATCGATGGCAGAATGATWTKTTTATTTARAWATACTGATGGAAAAAGAGACAGAATTACCTTTAATAATGGAAATTTGGGATTTGCGATATTTCTCTGTCACCTAACCTTCCCTTTTATAATCTATGATTAATCTATACGATTTTTTCACCATCATTAACTTGTAATTTCCAATTATAAAGYAATAGTAACGTCAAGCAGAATGTTTAAAAACACAAGAAAGAAATAATTCATTCGTTTTTCGTGCTCAGCTAGTTGATACCATGCTGTTCATGGAGTCGAGAGGGCTGTTGGAATATAAAATCAACGTCTCTGTTATTACAATGGCTGGTTGAAAGGAGGTGGAATATTTATTAAAACGCGAAATTTCAATTAGCACAAAYCATTTTTCCTTTCAACGCGGTCTTGTGTTTTTATTTGTATTTAATATCAATCTCGGGGTCGTCCCAGGCCACCAGCTGTGATGTGATTATTATCGTTCTTTGTTCGAGCAATGAAGTTGTATTCTATATTTAAAGATGTAATTATGACTGACGTAGTTTATTGGTATGTTTTTTTAATGCGGCGCACTTCGTCAAGACATAAGTACTTATAGGAATTCTATTTAACGTTTTTCAAAAAATAACTGTAACAGAAAAACAATGGCCCAATTTCAGGAGTTTTATATTGGCTAATGGAAGATACTTCGTTTTCTTGTTTTTGTCTACATAGATCCAAGTTGCTTTTATATTGTATCCAATACCGAATTGATAATTAAAGATTTTAATCTTTTTAAAAAGCTATGAATAAAGAACTAGGGGAAAATTGCACTGGTTTTAAGTGTTATACTTTCGATCTTTGATCCTTTGTTCATGTCCTTGTATGGTGTACCTGAATAGTACCATAATATGACGATCATGTGATGATAGATATCGACTCTGTTTCAGTTTTAATAGTCAGATAATAGTGACCAATAGTCGACTTTGCCGATATTTTGGTTGAGAAATCATGTACAAAAGAAAATTCGAAGAGAATGTTGGATAATCTTCATCCAGGTCCACGATTCTGTGCGTTGTAACTGAACTCCAAAATAACTGAATTAGGCCAGTAATTTTTTCTCGTATTTTTTTCTCTTTTTTATTTTTAGTTTTTTTTTTCTGGAAAAACTGAAATCAAGGCAATTACTTATTACTAGAGGTATAATGATCATGCATAGCGGCTCTAGGAAAGCGAGGGGGGAGGTTAAAGAGCCGCTACTCAGGCTACATCTGGTACATATCAATCTACCTTGAAATAATTGTGTGGGTTATAATTGCAGATACATTCAGAAAAAAATATGAATGCACATTCTATCTGTACGTGAGCTTTATTTATCTTTTGGTCATCCGTGCGACGCCATTTAAATGACTAAGGCATGATGGGATATGAAGTCCTTCGCACTTTATAATCTCCCCTAAAACGGATTTCAAAACGGTTTGTGATTTGTTTGCTGTAGGAAAACTTCAAGAAGATGTAAAATAAAGGACACAAAACTTGCAAGGGCTATATCAATTATCATGCTTTGATATTGTAAAATGGCATCACTGTTCATTGCCTATACTTACAAAAATTAACTCTCATTCATTCTTACATCAAACCATTTTTTTACTAGTTAAAATTTATCTTATTTCACAAATGTTTCTTTAGAGACAATGTTTACTGCAAGTTTCCATCATTCTGATTCTTTATCGAATCGTTCTTTTTCTCGCGGATATTTCTTTTTGTCTCATCCAGCCCTTACTAAGCATAACAAAAGAGCTTCAGTCAAAACTRTATAGTTTTACACTTTAAATGTTTGATAAACCAATTGTTGTTCAGATTTGCTAGTTAAKTGCAAGGCTGACTGCTTGATTTAAGAATTTTCGCAGTAATTGCTTGACAATAATGTACTCCATCCTTGATTTTCCTCTCATAACTTATTGATCTGCGTCTTGAGATCAAACGCGTTAACAATTCAAACTATCACACGATAAAAACCCCGTACTTTTGCTATAAAGGGCTTTTTGTACGACGGTATACTTTTCTCATTTGTAACATGTTCAATGACTTGAAAGACTGACCGCGTTTTAGCCTCGCATTTTTGAGCTTTTACCTTATGTTAATAATACTTATCTTATAAGCTCTCTCAAGAGTCATATATACGTAATGAAGACACAGTGAAGGAAATGTGGAGACACGGCTTTTTCTAGAACAGTTCTGACCATAGTTTTACTCGTATTTCAAGGAATTCCCTTGAAAATCCGTGATTTTTAAATATTTTCCAGTRATGTCGAGGTTTGTCATGGACCAGCATTCATAGCAKCAAGTTAAAAGTGGATTAACCAAAAAGTAAGCAAAAATTGAGACTTGCACTAGGAGATCGATGTACAATTTATATTATGTAAMGATGGAATTAGAGAGGATAAATTAACCATATTTGATCCATATTTCTGTCTCAGAAAATTCAAATATGAAGAGTAGAAAATAGACATAATCATACTTAAAAGATGGTAAAGAAAGATGTCAAACTTCATCCTTTTTTGCCTTTCAGCAAATACTTAAATGAATAACTGATGAGGTACTGGAGGCTATATGGACTAATGTGGAGGCTACTGTAGCATTACATGAGGTAAATTTATGTTTTGTAATATGCTTAACTACGTTCACAGCCATTTTACAAAATTTTGAAAAAAAATGGGGGAAAAAGAAGGCAATGAGAGAAGGGATAAGGAAAATACCGAAAAAGACTTAAGATAGAGAAACGATATCCATTAGAGGTTGAAAAAATGACGCGAGGAAATATGTAAAGAAGCAAAACCAGGGAAGGAGGGACACCATTAAAGAAATATGAAATCAAGAAAGAAACCATATGGAAAGAGGAAAATATTRGTCAACACCAAATGCGATTTATATTTTTTGCATCTGTCCTAACTATCGAATGTAATGCATATTATGAACCTAGATTCAATTTCTAAGCTTGGTTTGCATTAATATGGTTTTGTGTTCAAGTTTATCAGATGAGTCAATCTAATCCTGTGATATCTATCGCTTGTCAGTATTGATTAGAATAGATGTATACTTTATTGAGGTTAAATTCCTTCGCCGACCAATAAATTCAGTATTGATTAACGTTATCTCCAAAGAGTCACAAAATATTCGTATABATGCATTTTGATTCTTTTTATTCGCACAAAACCGAATGTAAAATAATCATATAGAGCGCGGTGTCCACTATGCATTAATCCGTGAAAAATGCATTCAAAGTGAGRATTATTTTCACTAGGCGAGGCYGTTMAACCTTAAGAAAGGTATATATTTGATATCTTTGAGTCGAGTTTTTCACTCACGACTCTTAACTTGTTATGCCCTTTATTGTCTTTCATCTTTTAAAACTAGATATATACATTCCCCAACTAACCCCTCCCAAAAACCTTCATGACGCAAACTGCGCATGCGAGGAATAGTAATGCACAGTGCCAAACGCATCGACATTTTTATAAACATTTCTCAGCGGTGCAGGTGAAGCTTTTGTCAGTAATCATTTATGATTCGTTTTACCTACAGTCAACTCGTTCAGCTTAAAATCTCCATCATGTAGTCCTCATGATCGTTCTATACGTGGAAAAGTACACATAACTTGCTTGGACTGGAAATGCCTCCTCGGTTGAATCAGCAAAATTTTAATCTAGGAACAAACATGCACTTATATGAATATTTAAAAGTAAAACGTATAAATCTTTTGTTTGAGCTATCGATTTTTTAGTGTTGAAGGACTCATGAGGATCAGCCGAAAAAGATGCTGCCGAAAGTTCTTGGTTACAGTTGTCACGTGTGCAGTCATTTGCTTCGTTTTAAGGACACTGCTATCAGCAAAACTTGGTGAGTAGTTTAGAAAATGAAAAAATGAATCGAATAGCATGATTTGATACATTGGCAGATTCACTCGGGGATTATCACTTGTTTACTCCAGCCCTTAATGATCAAACCCGGACGCTTTTCATTTTACAAACGCTTTTGGTTTCCCCCACCAAGCAATGACTCTTTTTGCTTTGATAACAACCTAGTGTTAAAAATTTTAATCGATTTAGTACTTTTCTATACCCTCCAACCATATTTTTGGGCGGGTATTATACTGACTCTTTAGCRTTAAAGTAGCTGGTACTCTCACTTATGCGCCACGCCTCCAATAGAAAGATTGGCCGTAAAAGAAAAACATAATTTTGAGACGTTTTTCGTAATATATACAATATGAGAGGGCGATATGCTCGCTTTCAGCTCGCTGTTTTAAACTCTCATACAGATCGCACGCGAATATTGTATATTACTTATGAAACGTTGAGGTAAACTTGCTCAGGTTTTAAATGAAGAAACTTTTGTAAAACTCTCCCATGCGAGAGTTTCCCACATTTGATTTTGAAACAGCCAGAAAGCACCTTCAATTAACCGAAATCTTTATATGTCTTATTTGTGCCTTGTTTGTTTGTAATTTTTAGTGTTTGTCGCAATGCCACAAGAAAACAACAGAGAAATRCATGCYGATTYGTTACTTAGCAACGCACAGACCACAATAACTTCTACCCACAAAAGAAGCAGTGCATTATGGGACAAGACTAAACCAGTAAATTTCTCACAAATCTATAACTYAGAAACAAAAGAGAGTCGCAAGGCTTTTCAAACTTGTGGAAATATTTGGCTGGAGAGATATAAGATTTTTCACGCACRGCARCTTAAGTCGGCCCAAAGTGCTCGATACTTGATATATTCCTGTAAAGGGAAAGGATTTGGGTGCGCGGGCTATGGTAACCGTCTTGGGGGAATCGCTTCATTATTATTTCTTGCTGCACTGACAAATAGAGTCTTTCTTATCGACTGGAGAGAACCTGAGGAGATAGCTTTAGAGCGTTTTTTACTTCCAAATGAAATAAATTGGAATTACAACAGTGACGAGTTGAAAGCCCTKCCATCGAGGAACCACTATTGGGGCAAGGGATTTCCTAAAAAACTTCAATCGGAACACATGACCAAGCCTAGYAACCATTACCCTGGTTTCGCTGCATGGTTTCATTCGATAGACTTTGACGCATACTTCGACCAACCTGTTGAACGAATAACAGCAACGTGGAAYTTCGTGGATCAGATTTGGTTRAACCCACATCTTGCTCRTCGMGCCAAGGAAATTGGACTCATGAAACCATCATACAAATATTTAGCTATCGGATGTACTTTTGACTTTCTTTTTCAAATGAGTCCACAACTCCAAARTAAACTTACTCAAGCAAGAAAGGAGTTGTTTTCTAATGGCACAAGTCCTGTAATTGGCGTTCACATAAGAATGGGTGACGCTGCTTTTGGGAGAAAGCGGCCGTTGAATGTCCAAAATCATAAAAGTTTCTTTTCTTGCGCTCAACGTGTTGAAAAATCTTTAATACASTCAAATAGCAGTATAAAAGGATCTTCAATAAAATGGTTTCTTGCTACAGATGACATTCTCATTAAAAGATACGCGAAAAAGAATTTTCCTAGTAAAATACTAACACTGGACTTTCARCCGCAACATATTGGGATATTTCAGAAACAAAGGTACCCTAGCTTCGACGGTATGATTGGAGTTCTTTTGGACCATTTTATGTTAGCTGACTGCCTCTTTCTTATTCTGTCAAAATTTAGTACATTTGGTACGACAGCGCTTGGACTGCGGTACCATGCACTTAATGCTTACACGTTTGGGGATGCGTGTGGGATTGTGACCTAAACATACGGAGTCTTCTTCTGAGCCATGTGGGACAGGCCTGCTCAACAAAACAATTAAAAATAAATAAAGACAGTAGCCTTAGCCAGTTTATGACATAAAACGCAGAAAGACCAAAAGACTGACACGTTTAAGTTTAAAACCTAAAAGTTAGAATTATGTTATGAATACGAACAATGACATTCAAAAAAATTAAGTAAACAAAGTAAAAACTTAATTATGATAAACTTAAATCTTTATAATTCTTATGAGCGAAGTGGCTATATGACTGAGCRATAGCCGCTTAAAGTCTTTAKGAGGAGCCGATGGGTTCCTGGGAGAAATATATCTGTTCTGATGTCCCAGCCAGCTGTAAGTCACAACTGGTTGCCAGCGAAAAATTCAGGAAAAATAACTATACATGCAAAGAAAAGAATTTCTAAGAATTTGCCAGGAAAATAAAAAGTTACTAACTAAAAAAAAAAGTATAAGTCGCTTTTGACCATGAAAACGTTTGCCAGGAACAAAATTATTTTAAAGAAGGAAGGGCGTCACATTTGTTTGTGAGATTGTCATGTAGTTCAAAATCCTTTTTCCAGGACAAAATTCGTACAAGAACAGTTATTTAGAACAGACCCCATCGCCTCCTCCTGAGTCTTCGGTGTAGTTAAATGAGCGGTAGTTTTCAAATGTGCAAAAAAAAAAAAGAAAAAAATCCCTAAAACAGTGTCTAAGTAGGGAAAGACTATTATAACTTTATAAACGACTTAAATCGATTCATATTATAACTTTTTATTTCGGTTTATTGTTTATTGGACTAAATGAGCGGGAGTTTTCAAATGTATAAAAAAAGTCCCAAAAACAGTTTTGAAGTAAGGAAAAACTATTGTAAATTTATTAACTTTATTATGMGTAATGATGTTTTGTGAGTTGAACATATGAATGAGGGAGGGAATGCAGAAGGGAAGGTATTTTGTAGTAGTTGAAGCTAGAATTCGGGCTTCCTGTCTTTTCATGACCGCTGACCAAGTATACACACTTAGCTGGCTCATATTGCCAAAATGGCGGCGAACGAAGAAAGCATTTGTGACCAAGAGAAAGCTCTGGCTCAAGTCAAACAGCTTATACGCACCATTCCAGACTTCCCTAAACCTGGAATAATGTTCAAGTAAGGTATTTAAGAAATTGTGCGGGATTGACACCACTAAACGAGAATGCCTTCATTCGAACAGTTCTGGCCTGGAAGTTGAGGCACGTGAGTTTCATGATTATTGCATTTTTTAGGGATATTTGCCCTATTCTTAAAGATCCAAGTGCTCTTAGGACAGTAACGGATGTTATTACTGATCACATCAAGAAAAACCTTGGAAAAATAGATGTTATAGCCGGTAAGCAAATGTGTAGCTAGGGACAATGGGTAGTTCCAGAAAATATCTGTACCATATGACAGGCGGCATCGATTTTTGACCCCCACCCCCCCCTCTCCTAAAGGAAATTCCGAAATTGGGTATCCACCCCTCTCCTTACGAATTCCAAAATCGTGTTTTTATCCCCCATTGAAAATCAGGTTACCCCCCTAGGAAATGAATGAGAATATATATTCTCTCGAAAATAAGTAAGACAATGCATCGTCGTAGCTTCGTGGAAGTGCTTAAAAATCACGTAAAAATCATTGATGTTGGAATTACTTATCTTTTACCCGTCTAGTTAATGTCTATTAATAAGTAATGCTTGAACAAATTAGACTCGTGAGAAAAAAAGAAATGTTATCTACGACCAAGATGGCCAAGACGCTATTAATTTCTGTCAAGAAACCGCTGACCACAAGCATTTACAATCGCTGAT